ATATATATATATATAGATAGGTATACAGATACACGCACCATCTGTCTATCTATCTGCCTACCTATCTGTCTATCTATGCATCTGTCTGTCCATCTATCTGTCTGTCTATCTATTTATCTATCTATCTAGCTGTCTATCTATATACACACACACACTGTCTGTAACTGTATGTATACATACACATGCACTACATATGTGTATACATATACATAGAGCTAGCTAGCATATGTGAGGATTGCAGCTGAGGGTTTCAGCTCTTTTTTGAAACTAGGTTGCTCCGATACTGTAGGCCTGCATGCTGAGATGTGGTTGGCAGTCGTTCCCGAGCTTATTGCTTTCAATCCCTGCACTTCAAGAAAAAACAGAACCGTCAGAAGCACCACAAACACACACAGACACCTTTGCGTACATGACTATCAATTTCTCCAAATGTCCTTCTGGCTGTGCGATTACAGATTGGTCTGCCTGTCTGTCTGTCTGTTTCAAGGGCTTTTATCTACTTGTCTTTTTCGTCTATGTATCTTTCTTAGTGAATGTATGCATGCACGTATGTAGGTAGGTAGGTAGGTAGGTAGGTAGGTAGGTAGGTAGGTAGGTGGCTACGTAAGTCGGTCGGTCAGTCGGTGGGTGGGTGGGTAGGTAAGCATGTGTGTACATACGTATGTAACTCTACATATATCTTTATGCCCGTACATACAGGTACGTGCTTGTTTGTGTATGTATGTATGTACGTACTTTTTATGTAAGTATTTACAAACTCATTTATGTTACATGCTTGCCATACATTGTCTATCCACGTAGGCATCATCTCACTGTCTGCCCATCTGTCAATATTCCTTTCTTTGAATTTAGCCGTCTATCTGTGGATCTACCTTTCTATCTGTGTGTGCGGCTGTATGTGCATGTGTGTAAGCGTAGGAACATATATGTTTGCTTTATTATATGTAGATATATGTATATATATATATATATATGTATTATGTGTATTGTTGGTATGCGCAGGTATGTGTGCAGATGGACTGCTGGAAAGTAGATGGATGCATGGGTAGATGGATCGGTAGTTCGACAGTTAGATGGATCAGATAGACGGGCAGATAGATTTTAATAGGATAGATCGATAGACAGACCGATCGACAGGTAGACAGACATTTAGACCCGTAGACAGAAGCTGCTATCAGCATACAGAGAGAGAGAGAGAGAGAGAGATAGTTAGATAAGATAGGTAGGTAGATCGGTAGACAGATTGAGTATGCGCACGTGCAGTCACAGGCGCAGATACGTGTACATAGTCTCTTGAGAGCAGACACACACGTGTATACATATATACATATATTTATATGTATATATGTATATATCTATATATATATATATATATCTCTGTACACATCCACATGTGCGCGCGGACATACAAACCCACATGTAGACATGCGTATCTCACACGCATAAAGATACGTTTGGTGAGAGACTTGCAGGCCTCTAGCCGCTGTGTGCGTAATGCTAACGACAGTTCGCCAACAGCAAAGCATGTAAAGCCTGGATACTTGTTGAGCTGCAGTTGGCAAGAGCTCGAGTCTTTCAAGCTGCATGTCGAATGCCATGTCAAAGTCGCAGCGCTCCAGGGAGTGTTGGGTTGGGATTCAGGATTTCGAGCTAATTGCACTGAAACTACTCTGTGTGTTGGTGTACCGTACGACATCATCAGAACGATGTGCCCCAGGCAGAAAGTGACAGACGGCTGACAGAGCGTGAGGCAGAGAAGCGCCGGGTGGGCTACAACGTGCGAAAATTCAGAGTAGCTGTCTTTGTTAGACTCGTGACAGTTTTTGCAGTCAGTAAGCAGGAACTTGGTGTCTCATAGCAGCAGCATAGCATAGCAGATGACTCTCCACCTCGTGAAACCGTTGCTTGACATTTCGCGTAGACATGTTGTCTTGCCAGGAACAGCTTGGTGCACGCGAGCGGACCGTCGTCATGGCTGAGGCAGATAAAGCATCAAGAAGCAGCAGAAGAATTCAGCAGCTTAATGCTCGCTGTTCGTCTGATATGCCAGATGAAGATCCTTAAAGCAATCGTTGTCGGATATGCCAAATCGGCCGGAATTGAAAGCTCCCAGCATGGTAGCTGGTAGTGAAACCATGGGGCCTAGTGCCTCTTCGGTATGTGGTCAGGAAAATGCTCGCCAAGCGGCCGAGGCCGGTGCCATTGTTCGAAGAAATAAGAGATAACAGATATAACATCTAACTTCTCACATTTCCTGTACAGTATGTTCTATCTGATGAAAAGTATATATATATATATACTGTAGATTATTAGCAGTATACTGTGTAACATATAGTATGCGCTCTATAACTTGTAGCATATACTGTTTAACATAGAAAGGTACAAATACACCATGTATAACGTACAAATACATTCTACAATGGAACTATAGTACATAAGATCTAATACAAAACGTACACAACATATACATATAACCATAAGATCTACTATACAAGTTTTAACTTGTATCATGTTCAATATGGTATAAAGCTTTTAATGTACAATGTGTAGTATTTGTTTTTTGATGTGTCGCATGTACTATGCATATGTATGTACGTATGGTTACGTACATATGTACATATTTATGTATATGTACATAATTTTGCTTTATATAACATGCCGTACACAATATGTAATATGCAATGTAGTATATATATATATGTAAGATGTGTATACATTTATGTTAACTGTTATGCAAGATAACATGTAGTATGTGCTATATGTTATACTGTTATACGGTGTATAACATATATTACATATTTTAAAGTATATAATATTGCGTCTATAAACTACCTGCACAAGATATGGCACATGACCTATAACATATAGTATATATGTTACAGTTTATTTAGTATACAACATAACATACAAAACACAGTACACACTACACTATAACTATATGTATATGTATATGTATGTATGTATGTATGTATGTATGTATACATATATATATATATATATTTATATGTATGTATATCCGTTGTGGATGCACTCTCACAGTGTCCTGCTTTGTATATATATATATATACATACATATGTATGCACATACATAATACATGTACATGTACATATATATGTGTACATATATATATAT